GGCTGCTTTGACTGTGAGATGAAGAGATGTTTTGACTGTGACGGTGATTGCTGGGTTTGGAGTAAGTGCGATTGTTGGCCTCCTGGAGCTGGAGGGGAAGCATCATTACATCACAATCACTGTGAGCTACAGCTCAGGATATGTTCTCATGTTGATATCAGACTATAACTACATTTTCCCCACTGGGAGAGTCTGTTTATCAGAGTTGGAAAGATGCATCTTTCTTTTTTTTGCAGCTGTAGCTCAGATGAAGCTGGCTCTTCTTGTCGATAGGTCAGTTTTCTTCAACAAGACACCGTTCTCAAATGGAAGTCATTTTGGCGAGTCCTTCAACCTGAATGACTACACACAGTAAGTTGTTGGTCATACCCTCTGATATGAGCCATAGAAGTGTTTCCTTAGAAAATGGTGGCAGGAGATGGGCCAAAAAACACAACTAGAGCACAAACCTCCAAAAAGGCAGCTCGGTTTTCCTGTAATGCTGTTGCACCTAAAGGCAATACTCTCATGATAGTTTGATGGTCATCATATGAGTTGTGTGTCTGAGTGCAGGGCTTAGCTACACACACAAGGTGCAGGGCGGAGAGGAGGATGAAGCCTGTGCTTTCACTGCATTCACATAAAACCCTTCCTGCGGGATTATGCAGTGACTGTTTATTTCTGCTTTAGAAGGTAACCACCATGAAACGATCAGAAAATATTTTTATTTCTCTGATTCACTTCTTCTACTAGCGCCACTCCCTCTCTTCATTTACACACTAGCTCCCTCGACCAATGCTGCTCATTCTCTCTTGGTGGAGTAGAGTTGGAGCACAGGCAGTGAAATTTGGGCACAAAGATAAAAAAAAAAAACTGCTCTGAGATACAGCTTGGATCCCTTTGTTGCCACCAATGAGCCGGTGAATAGAACTTGACTTGAAAATTTAAAGCCCTGAGCTGCAGTTGTATCAAGAGTCCAGTGTTAGGCGCCATGTTGGAAGGGTTTTTTGGTTGGAAGGTTCTGTGCCAGTCACATGAATGAAAACTATCTCACAGTGGTGACGACGACTCTAAAAGAATTCTTGGATCAGCACCAGAATCTGATGGACTGTTTCATGGGCCACACCCTACCTCTCCAAAAACTGCATCACAATCCAGCGCCAGTACCTCTGCCTTGGCAAAAACAGTTAAATAACCACCTAGTGAAGGTTTGGTCAGCTTCAGGAGTAGCAGCTTTGTTAGAGGAAAGGGTTTGGGTTACGAGTTGCCATAGCTACAACAATAAATAGGCGGTGAAGTCAACAGATGTTGATTGTTGGTTGGAAATGAACAGCGTTCTCCTGTGTTAAAGTTCAATGATTTGTCGACCCATCTGCCAACCTCGACCTCCCGTCTACAGGGACTTTGTGGTTCTGTAACAAAGTCGCCCGACTTCTTATAATTACCATGACCAGTAGAGGACTGATGCTGTCTGACGCAGAAATGAGATGTCACTTCACAAAAACCTAACAGAAGTTATAAGAGGCTACCGGCACAAATATGGGGTTGTGCTGTATGCATGACCCACAATTTTTAATCTAGCACATAAAATTTGTTTAGATTTTTTTGCCCAGGTAGACAACATCTAAGCTTTCCACTGTGGAAAATTCAGTTGTTCCAATGAAAACTGTCTGCAGCAATGTCTGTTTCTGTTTACCCACAGTGACGGTCATTGGTTCAGGAAAGACACAGTTGTATCACAGTCATCTTTTTCCTGGTAGGCAGACTTTTTTTTAAAAAACATGACGTAAATGAGTAACCTGGTTTCTGTGATCAGAATAATTGAAGAAACCTAATTTTCCTGACGAAGGACGATTTCATAACTGTGCACAAACTCAGACTTGTAATCCATTTCTAGGCATTTGTGTCGCAAAAGATTTTGCACTGAAACTATCACTCTGACAACCCTGCTGCATTTACATGTACTATAGTGTCAGTAATGCAGTTAGTGCAGCAAATATGTAAATGTGCGGATGTTTAAAATGTTTGTGCACCACTAACAAAACCTCTTCCACTGAGCTGGTGCAGCAGAAGAAATCCAAGACGCTTTACAAATGTCTCAGCAGAACCAAACAGCTTCACATTAATCGACATTATGCATTGATCATTCACTTTAGGTGTAAACAATACATGTAATTGCCACAACAATAAACAGAACGATTGACATAATACTGGATACAGGAAGGACGAGGGAAATAATTCCTCCTCTAGTGTTTTACTTTCTTGTAGTTGCTGTAGGACTCAGTCACAGTGATATGAGCCTTGCCACCGTGTCTCTGTGTGAACAAAGTATTTCCTTAACTACTTTGCCTCTGTCACTTATCTCAACATTAACTTTAAAACCACTGCACTCGATCTCAAAGATGCTCCTTATCATCCTGAACAAACAGGAGACCATCCTCTGAGTGCGGGTCTGTTTATTTCCCTCCAACGTATCCATGTTTAAGATGTATGTGCTTTTTTGTTCTTTTTTTTAAACCTGTTGGCATCACCATGTCTGTGGAAGGGACAACAAGGTAAACGACAGCATCCATCTAGAGGCTTAACCTACTCCCCTGGTATCCGAAGGCTTTTTCTTGTGTGCTACAAACCTGAATTTATGTTTGTAATTTTGTGTGTGACTCTTCTGTACTTTTGTTTTTGGTGTAATAGACCTGATGCATCATCACTTGGGTAAGTTGGGGAGTAAATACTGAGAAATGTTACAGAAAACACAGACTGGAGTTGTTTCCATGACGTTTATAACGGTGGAGGTTGTATCGTTTGTCTGCAGAACAAAAAAACCCTCTGGTTTTCATTTGTGTTGGTACTGACTTATAGGTTTCCAATAATATTTGTGTTACAGTGGTGGAAGAAGTATTCAGATTATTTAAGTAAAGGTATCAATAGCACAGGGTAAAAGTATTACAAAGGCTTCAAATGTTAAATAAAAGTATAGGCAAAAATACTTGAAGTACTAAAAGTAAAAGTACTCTCTGCAAATTGGCACTGATGTAGGCCTACATCATCATTAAGTTATTATTGTCTATATGTAACGTTTAATGTTGCAGCTGGTAAAAGGTAGGTAACTACCTCATGTTTATATTTTGAATAACTACTGGGTAGCTTTAGAATTTTGTAACTATACTCTGTTTAACTGTTTTCTGAAGGTAACTAAAGTTATCAAATGTAGTGAGTACAAAGTACAACATTTTTCTCTGAAATGTAGTGAAGTATGAAGTAGTATACTGTAAAATACTCAAGTACAGTTACCTCATACTTGGGACTAGTACTTGAGTAAATGTGCTTGGTTTGTTTACACCTCTGAAGTGTAGTGTAGGGTCTATATACATTATGTGAGAGTATAAGTTATTATTGCAACTTGTTTTGAGTTTCCACTAACAAATATCTGTCCAGTTTTACTCGGCTACTTGTCTTCTACAGCCACAGAAGGCAGATTTCTCCCAGGCCTTCATTCAGCTTTATTTTACAGGTCCACTATTTCCCAGTTTCTTTAAAGTTCTTAAAAAAATTATGACAGAGAAATAGTTGACTTTTGTTTATTAATCCACTGAGTTGTGTCTTATGGGCTTCCAGGTGAATTTTCACGGACAAATTGCTCAATTTAAACCTCAGTTGATATTTGCTATTCATGTATTTATTTGACATATGTCCTTTATATTGAACTGTGTGGTTGTTTGTAGACATATTTTACACTTTGCATGTGGCGTTCACCTTCTGTCCTCAATAAAAGCCTCATGTTTGTGTTAGTTTAGCATTTGGAAATGACTACCAATGCACCACTTAAAAAAAACAAACTACAATTGGTACCAAATTATATGGTTCTTCTGGGAAAGTACTTGGGAAATAATTTGGAAATAAACTTGTACAGACCTGTTATCATGTTACTAAATACTCTACAAGTGTAAGTATGAGGTTAAAGTTCTTGGGGAAATGACCCCTGGGAGTGTTATAAAGCTTCTACCTTTTATTGTTATGGTTGCATTAAAGTTTGAGCTGCATTTTAATGCCGTAGCTGGTGGAGGTAGCTACTGGGCTATAAGCTATTTGTATAGTTGTGATATTTTATATACTGATTCTATGTGACTGTGTTAAATTCTAATCTGTAAAGTAACTAGCTGTCAAATAACTGAGTAATACACTAATTAATTTCCCTCTCAAATGTAGTGAAGAGGCATGAAATTGAGATACTTGTGTGACTTTGAGTGAATATACTGCATCATGTGTGGGTTTCGCATGAGTCTGACCACTGGATAGGCTAATGCTGGTCATGAATGGTTATCAGTAAAGTGTCGGAACTAGAGATGTTCTGAGCTGATCTGCTAAAATAAACCAATCAATATCTGATCCTCTGTCCTGAACTCCAGTGTGCTGTGTTTACTTGGACTTGCAGATGCTCTCCTTAATGACAGCCGGTCAAACAGTCGCTAGTTAATGTTAATTCTATTAGTAGCTTGACTGGAGGCCAAAGTCAAGCTTGTCTGTAGTTGACAAAGATCATTTGTGTACAAAGGTGGTCCACTCTGTGCAGTTTTAACAACTACCATAGTGCTAATTCTCTCTCTATCCTTGTATCTTATCCAGCTTGTAGTAGTTTTGAATTAGGGTATCTGGGTCAAGTAGCCTGAAAAATGCTGCTGTTCAAAAGTCTCAGGTGGATATTTAATCAAAACGTAAGTAAACATATCAGACTGGAACCGGTATCGGTAGATATGTTAAAGGGCATGCTGGAACTATTTTTATTCTTATTTTATCACACACACCCTCTGGAGCTACTGAAGGCAAATTTGTGATATTGGGCTGTATAAATAAAATGTGACTTGACACACCCAGAAACGCGCACATTAACACACAAACGAGGGGCAGGTCTCAGGGGAGAGAGCACACCCTGAGCACACGCGTGCGTCCCTTCAGTGGTTATGGCCCTTAAAGCCCAGTCTGGAGCTGAGGCGGTGAGGCTACAGTATTACGGCTGAAGTCCTCTTGGTGACGCTCTGCTGACATCACTCTGATATTCCCCACTCAGCTCTTCGCATCACACACACGGAGCTCCAGCGACTCTCACACACACTTTGTTGCCATTTCGCTCCGCTCGCCGTGGCCAAGACGCAGCACCACACACAAGCAGCCGCGGGCTACCTGTCCAATCTGCGGCCGGCCCACACGGGGAGGGGTTAAGACTCGTAACAGATTCAAGAGGAGCGAGAAAGCTGCAAACTAAACACAGTCCAGACAGCAGAGAGCTCCGCACACACGTTGAAAGAGAAACCACAGCTTGGCTGATTTCAACCCAGGTGGTCTGAACTGAACTCGAAGTTTCTTGGCTGAACGTAGGAGGAATAATTTGGAGTCCGTTTGACCCACACAGCGGTGTTGTGGATAATTACTTCCACCTTCTGTCATGTTTAGAATGGCGAGAGATTACGCAGCGCGCTGGCCGCTCTCTCCGATGAGAAACACTTGGCTGGTGGCAGTGGCGATCATTCTCATAACCCAAGGTAAGACGGAACGACCCGAGCTGTGTCAAATATCCAGTCCCCCCTTATCAGCCCCGTGCGCCCCGATGGGCCAGCGTCGGCACTTCGAGCCGCAGCTGGGGCGTTCTGGGAGTGCTGCATGTTTCACTGTGTCACGGCTCTGTGTCCTCTTTGGATACTCTTTGGTGTGACCTGTTGTAAAAGTTTATTGTCGAAGCTCTCGGTCAGATCTCTCTCTCTCTCTCTCACTCTCTCTCTCAGTGTGTGTGTGTGTGTGTATTTTTTATACGCCATGGTACGCGAGGTGTGGCTCTGTTTGGTTTGGGTGGCTTGTCCTAATTCCTCACTGCTTCAGATGGCAGGTGACTGTTCATGGAACCTAATCCTCTCTGAGCGTCTACAAACCCTTCCACTACGGCTGACCTGTAATCGGTATTTACCTGTAAAGTGTGTTAGGGGAATGTGGTGCAATCATAGCCACTGCTCTGATTACTAACCACTAGAATGTCTGCAGAATTTGGTTCTCATTGTGCAGAGCAACAGGGTGGTGATGCCAAGTACGGTCTTGGTCCCAGCTCTTCAGGTGGCCCTTCAACAATGAGTGCTGCTTTGTCAAGAGCCGTCAATGAATAAACACTTAAGTAACTTTATAATAAAATGCACAAGGTAGAGAAATATAGCATTAGAAAACTATTTTGTGTATGTAAACAGAGTATGCATGTTTGTTGGGAGATAAAATAGTTATGACAAGTTACAGAACCTGATCTTTATGATTTTAAGAGAAAAATGTTGATATCCTTGTTAAAAAGCTGTTAAAAACAACTGGGTACACAAACTCAACATCCTTTAAAGTCAGTAACGCTGTGCTACATTTTAGAATTCCTATTTTAAAGTTGAACAAACTGCTGGCAGCAGCTGTAACAACATTGATGGTGCATTAATAATCATTACCAATAAAACACATTAAACCTGATGTGAGTCAAAAAGAAATTGCTGCAATTTACGTATCTGCCACTGCACACTGACAGAAGCATCTGATAAACCAGTGCTGATGGTATCAGACTACACATAGCAGTTGAACTATACTGTAAACTTGGTGTCAACTGATGCAAGACACCGAGTATAACGGCAATACTTGGAGTAAAAATGCAAAATGTTTACTAACAGACTGCACAATGTACACAGGATCTCTGCTGCAGCACTACAAGCCAGTAATGCCACTGTTCTTTACAGTGATAGGAACCTTTGAAGGGTTTCTGTTGAGTGCCATTGAAGCCATAAACACATTACTGAGATACCTGGAATATTGTGCAAATAATAAACAAATAAAACAAGCTATCAAATGTGCTACTGGTTATAGTGACACTTTATGTTCTTGTATAAATATTTCAGTGATAGATATGGAAATAACCACAAACTATAATAACACCTGTAAAACGCACAGCTGAGTAAGGCAGATGTGCACCACCTCCCACCAGAAACAGACTTTAGAAGCCCCCCCCCAACAACTGGGACCAGCTACAAGATTCATAACAGCAGGCTGTCAGGCAACAGTGATCGGCATAAAAATCTGTCGGCACGAGTCTGTCAGCCTGTTGTTTTCACCTGGGTGTTAACTAGTATCATCTGTCAGAGCTGTCCCCAAATTGCCTCCAAGGGAACAGAAGATGGGTCATTATGGAGCCTGAAGATATGTGGTCTGGTACACTGACATGTCTTGGAGACATGTCTCTGAGATTAAACCAAATGGGAGGGCAAGTTATTTCAAGGCCATGAGCCACAGAGCCTGTTTCGCATTGTACTGTAGTATTTTATTGCATAATAGGTGTACTGTGGTTTTTTTTATGTGGACAAGAGGATTTAACCTTGATTGGAATCTGCTTTGTAATGATTTTCTTTGTGCTCGTGCATATTTAGGGCAACGTAAGCCATAAGAATGGGAAACCTCAGTGCAGTAGCACAAAAAAAACAAGGATTATGGTGCTCGAGATCAGTGGTGTAAGCCAGGGGACGCAGGTTGGAGTGAGGATGACGGATGCTCGGCTGAGACTCTGCTACATCAGGCCTGTATTGTTAAAACACTGTCAGATTGTGACACAATCCCACAGGTTGAATTAATTTGAACATGCAGTAAGAACTGTCTTGGAGGAAACGTTTTCACACTCGTATCGCTCCTACTTGTCCTGTGAGTTAGTGACCCTGAATGACAAAGTACAAGCTTGGCTTTCCACGACTGTCCTGGGATATGAAACGATGTAAGTAAAGACTGATGCTCACTGTTTTAAACTATATGGAAATAAACTCAAAGGGGGTAAACAGCACTAGTGAAACTTTTTCATTATGATGATAGAACCATGTATAAAACAGGTGAAGTAGAGTTGAGAGCATACCATTCCAGGCAGTGGTAATTGAGTCACTTCAGGTGTCCCCTCATGCTCGTCTCTGTGCCCGAGCCTGCGCTGAAATGTCACTGATGATGAGTCCCCCCGACGGCTCGGTGCAGAGGAAGGGCTGATTAGCTTATCACTTGGAGAGCAAGCGGCCGATGATTATCACCTTCAGAGCAACACAGCCTGATTACGGAGAGCTGTTATTAATGACTCATCTTCTACCATGCGCTGCCCCGTTTTGCTGTTTGTTTGTATTTTTGAGCGTCCACTGCAGCAGCCTTCGGTACAGAGCTCTGATAGGGTTCCTCCATTTGTGAACCAGTGCAGAGGAAGCAGCTTCAGAAGCAGTCGACAGCCTTGGTACCGCTAGAGCTGCCCACTTGAGACGTCCACGTGCACGAGCACCGTTGTTTAAATTTTTTTCTTTGCAATTTTAGTTGAATAATTTTCCTTGATGCAGAAAAGGGTGGAAATCCTGTTTTTAACCCAGAACAGCGACCACCTGATCCTAGGGTTGGAAGTGTCGTGGAGTCTCAACTCACTGCGGTGCAGAGGCTCCCGCCCCGCTGTGGCTGCTGGCAGAGACTAAATGTCAAGGAGTGTTGCAGGAGAAGTGATTGTGTGTGTGTGTGTGTGTGTGTGTGTGTGTGTGTGTGTGTGTGTGTGTGTGTGTGTAGGGGCAGAAACGCACCAAGCAGATATGAAAGAGCTAGAAGTGACAAAGACCAACCTCTGCATTGGCTCACGTCAGCCTTGTTTGGGCCAGTAGGGTTGAAAAAGTGGCACCTGAACATCCGCACAGGCCATAGCCAACAGCTGACTAGCATGTACGTTTTGCACCTGTGTGACAGAAATAAGTCCCCTTCAACCTCAGCGACAGGTTGAAGGAGCATTCCTGAACCGTGCACGGACTCTGAAAGCTCAACAGCCACTAAGTGTCTTTCTCTTAGCAACGAGGGCCGACGGCAGAAAAGCCAGTGACGGGGACGGACTGGTGCTAACGGTGTAGGACCTATCGGGAGGACGAGCCCTAACAGACGGTCGACCATCGGCTTGGTGTGTCAGCCGTAGGATCGAGGGAGGGGTTGTCATTGTTGCATTGAGTTGGTCATAGATGTCATCTAAGGTGAAATACCAGTGATGATGCTGAGCAGCTGTTTGCTTCTCAAGATCCTAACATATGGGCTTAATGATGTACTTTTGTAAAAAGTATTGTTTATGGGCTTTGTTGGACTAAACCAGTCCTGCGTATCCTTTTATGAAGAATGCTCAAAGACAAATCTGTCCTTTGAGATATTTATTACAATCAATATTTAAGAAAAAATAATCAAGAAAAGCAATACAGAGCTCTGGATTCCGTCTCTTTCTGAAGCCCTATCACACAGAAGTATAGTGCATAGCTGCTGCAGGAAGCCGGAACCACGAGTTTCCTCTGCATAGAGAATTTATAATAAGAGTCATGAAAATGATCTGACGTCATCCGCGTTGTCCTTCATCCTCGTTCCTTGGTTGGTTTCTTGACCTCATTTTGACCCCTCATTTGGTGATCTTGTCGCCGGGCAGATTTTGATCTGTGACATTCTCAGTGCAACATATCCTGACCTTTCGACCTAGACATTACCCTCCTACATACGTCTTTATAAACAGTTAGTTGTTGTCTGCAGATTTAGGAAAAGCGCCAGCTTTGCAATGCAACCGTGGTCTACTTCCTGTAATGTGGTTTCCTGTCTACTCTTACAGCCTTACACATGTCTCCTATATTCTTAAAGACAAGTGAACTGGTTAAAGCAAAAGTAAATCATAAAGCATATTATACTAAAGTAAACTTGTAGATATATTTGCTAATGCAGATTATAATGTCAATCCTAGAATTTCCTCTGTTGATAAATGTTGATAATCTGAAGCCAAGACAATCAGACCTTACACCCACAAACTATTCTCGTGCAGACAGTTTAGTCATCTCAGTGTATATCTGCATGACTTCCTGTTGTTCTGAGTCTCTCTGCACCTCTCACAGCATTCCATGTCCACATGTCAAATCTTTACAAAGGTCAAACAGATTAAACAATTATTTGAACAGTTTTGTAAATACATAACATAGCACTATATCTTTTTATCAAGAATTTCTTTCTACAGCTTCTTTTGCAAGGAACTCTGTTTATAAGACACTTTCCCAAAAAGTTTGTTTTAAAGACACAAATTTGCAGTAAGATGAGAAAAAGCCAGGGTAGGAGGTACGGTAAGTCGTCCTTGCAGAATGTGCTGCATTAAAAAAAGCCGCTGTCATGTTGGGGACCAGGAATGAGCTGTTTTGCTTCCTGCAGTTTGGCCCAACCTGCAGTTTAAGGCACATTAGCATTGGACTCAAATGTCAATGACTTTTCCTGGTGAGGCATGGCGTGGTAATCATCCCCTGGAGAACAGACCATTGATGCACACTGAGAGCTCATTAATGACTCACATCAACCCAAACTGCGCAGTAATGCTGAGGGCTGTTGGTGTTTCAACCAATTTGTTTGTCATTGTTTGGGCTGCCGTGTGTGTGATGGTGATTCTCACCCAGAAAAGCACAAAGTCCTGCTGCTATGAGAGAAGGACTTGTCCTCTTAATTACAGCCTTTTCACCGATTA